TGAAATGAAATTACTATTTATATGAAGATTTTGATCGGGATAAAATTTATTTTGATTACGTTTTATCATAATTAATATATTATTTCAATTGATATTTATTTTATAGAATTTCAAATGATCACGCTGATAAAAATTTTATTTAAAATTAGTTCATTGATTAATCAGATTTAAATTAATTTTACAAGTAAAATTTTTACAACGTAAATATTTACAAGCAGCTTTTGCAATACTTTATGTTTTTCGTTTATAACTATAAAAATAATATTAAAATTTATAAAGATTTTTTTCGTCAGATATACTCAACGACTGTATTAAAAAATTTAAATTAACCATTGATTATAAAAAAAAAAAAAAAAAAAAAAAAAAAAAATAATAATAAAATAAAAGTAATAAATAAATAAAATGAATTAAATTAAAACAGTGATATTGTATTGAGAATAATTTCATTTCATTTATACGAGGATATCAAAGTAAACGAGATCTTTGACTATTCTTTGGCTTATTGCTTGTGCATTGATCACTAAAGGACAATAAGAGTGGGTATTTTGTAATGGAATAAAAGTATTTATAATAAGCGTATCGTTAAAAAAAAAAATAATAATAATACGAAGGCGTTAGAAATGCGTATAAAATTGTATCAAAAGTCATCGACTTATGAACGATTTCATTAAGCGACCGCTCCCTTTTCACTCTTGCACACGTGTCGCTTCAACATACTTATACGCACGCGTTTACGTTTTTTACTTCCTGCGGATCTTTCTTTGTCTCCCCTTCGCTGTTCTTAATCATCGGTCTGTACGTCGCGTAGCTCTGGCGACAAAAATAACTTGAATTTTTATTGCTACGCTATTTACGCGTGTCTCCCGGATACTTTTTATAAATAGTAATACTTTTTCTCCCCTCCCTTCTTTCTTACTTTGTCCATCTATCCGACTATTTTTCTATCTGATTCTTTCTCTCGTTTTCTCTCTTGATGCTTCTGAATTCGACATTTCTTTTTCAAGACATGCCTCTTCCTCTTTTTCCAGCTCACTCATAAGTAAAGTAGAGAATACTACTGTGATTGTGAATTATGATAAATAATCGTCAAGCATTATGCGGATTTTAGAAGTAGATACTGTAGATTAAAATTTTACTCTTCATATGAGCTTCGTTTAAGGCCATTCTTGTCTTATGTAAGGCGATGTATTTCATTTTATTTTACTCGATGCCTTACGTGCTAATTATCTCTAAGATTAATTTACTCGGTCAATGAAAATTTTTTAATAACAAATAGCTTTAATAAATGTTAAATAAATAGCACGTAATATTCAGATAAGAGAAACTGCATTTAAGTATAAAATTTATTTGTACATAGATGTAAAATCTAAATCGTTAAATTATCATCATTTTATATAAACTACATGAAAACAATACCGAACTTGAATGCAATAAAATTAATAGTATTGATAAAAATAACAATAATACGTAATTTCAATTACTTTTTTTTAAATTTAAATGTGTAGTATTTTAACCACGTCTTATGATATATTTAAAATAATTATACAGAACTTTTAACAAATCATTAGCATAATTAGAATTAGATTGTAAAAAAAGTTATACTCCATATAAATATTAATAATTTAAACTAAAGATTTATTTTTCAAATAATAAAATACTTTTTATAATAATGCGAATATACATCTATAAATGTAATAATAATAGAATGTAATGTGTAGACTGTAGTATATGATACTGGATGGCTCATAGTTTTGAAATTTAAACACAATGTAGAATTTTTCGTTATTTTTCCAAGCTTAAATAAAGGTGGCAGGCATAATACACAAGAATGAGTTCTTCATACTCTCAAGTAGCATTCAAAGCCAAAGCAAAAGTAACATACGACGGACTGACTAAAATGCCTTTAGACTCGTTCCAAGTGAAATGTAATCTTGATTATTCTTCACATCATTACAATTCTTTTTTACAATTATACAATAATTCATTTTATATAAAAAAATTATTTTTGATTACTGATTAAAATATGTATTTAGTAATTATTGTTATTATTGTGAATTATGCTATACCGATTATTATTTTTAATATTAATTTTTTTATTATTATTTATAATTATTATTATAAATATTAGAGTTTTGCGTTTGAGTATAATAAAACAATACATAAATATTGTAACTAAATTATATATAACATTATGGCGAAGAAGAGGCGATTCACTCTAATTGAATATGATTTTCATACTGGTGGGAATCTGTAGAAGTTGATTTCATAATCTAATTATTAACTTATATAACAAAAGTGGGGGTATAAAATTTTATTAGAAAATTTTCGACCATTTAAAAATACATAAAAACTACCACTGTTTACGTCTGGATATACGTGCGAGTACATAATAATATGTAATTTACATATATATATATATATATATATATATATATATATTGCAGATCAAGAGTACTTTTTCATGCAGTGTTTAGTCTTTGCAATTACTTACTTTATCATTTGGATACGGTAAATGATTCTATATTAAGAAGTCGTTTCATCTTGAAATAATAAAATAGAAATAGCTTATAAAAGTTTTGGCCTCGTGACTTTCATATGCATACTTCTACAATATACGAAAGGCCGTTTGTTTGTACACATTTGATTCTTTTATAGCAAATTCATCTTTAATTTTATTATTAAAAAGATCTTGAAAGTAAATCCATTTGATCCAGTAATTACGTATTCTTAATTAAAGCAGTACGTAACAATTTCAGTTTGACTTACCTATACATTACATTACATTGCTTACAATAAGTTAACGCTTGTGAAATAATGAACTTTATACAGCAAAAGTTCTATACATGTTTCTCATCTTCCAACCAGTTTAATTATTAAAATGCATCACCTAATACTGATTTTTTCAATATATTCGGAAAGTTTTTGTGAAAAGTGATTAATAATTTGGTATAAATTAATTTTAAAATTAAATATAGAACTTTATTATAATCTCTTAAATGTTAAATAATTTCATATTTTAATTTTACATAATTAATGTTCTCTCTCTCGCTCTCTCTCTCTCTCTCTCTCTCTCTCTCTCTCTCTTCTCTATTTTTTTTTTTGCAAATACAGCATTTACATAAAATTTCTTAGTCTGGATAGTAGGACTGATTAGTCAATTTCCACTCCACTTCTCTATGTTGTAAATATAATTGATTAAAAAAGCAAATTTTCATAAATTACTAATAATAATTTTACATCTATCTAATAAATTCATTAAATCCATATGTGTACCTGTACGTGCGTAATAAATTATCAAAAAGTTAATATTATTGTTTTCCAATTTTTTTCTTTATTTTATTATAATATAAATATTTTATCGATTTGCGAAAACACAAATTTTAGTATAATTAGTACTCCCAACCGTGAAAAATAAATGTTGCTCATTTTTTTTAAATTAAAAATTTTTTATTACATATCAAAGGTAATTTGATAAATTAATATAAATGAATTAACTAATTTAAATAAAAATTATGTTCCAAACCTTTTATTTAAAAAAATTTAATTAGATAGACCAAAAATATATTTTTACTTAATTTTTAATTTAACTTTCGTTTTTTTTTTAATATTAAAATAAACATATCTAAGCAATAAATAGTAATTGTTACTTTGTTCTAATTTTTATTCATAAAAAGATATTTTCAAGCTATAAGGATTCACGACAAGGATAATATACACCAGTAGTAAATTTTATAAAATTGAAATCAAGCATTTATAGACTAGTCAATAAGATTAACCGGTTAAATATTTATTTAATGGCACTTCATTGAGTAAGAGGCACTGAAATAAAGTACTTAAAAAATTTAAGTTGCTTTAGATATTAAAATATTCTGTGGTTCTAATATTATGCAAGAGATAATGTTATGCTTGATATTACGTAAAAACTATTATTACTTGAGTGGAGTTTTAACTCGATCGTTTTGTACATTTGCTACGTACAATAATAACTATAGAATCAATCATAATAAATATAAGTATATATAAAATCGATAAATATTTCATGTTTAACCGGATACATAATTATAAAGTAATTTTACTTGAATTAATAATTATTTTTAATATAATAATTTATTTTTTAATTTAATATAATAAATCATTTTTCTTCAATTTATTCAAGTTTACTCAAATCACCAATATCTTGACTAACTACATAACTAAATAAAGTTTTAATATTAATATTTAAAAGAAATCATATACCTGTCTTCTTTTAGAATAATTAATACTTTTTAGCAATCCGATTGAAAAATACTTATTAGCACTATGTAAAATATTCTAAAAACAAAATAACTACTACATACGTATGCACATTAATGCGAGTGATTGAGTAAGAAAAAGTGCGTGGAATTGTTACTTATTAGATAAAATATTTAACTTTATATTTTTTACATCAATACTATACAGTTTTTTGCACGACGTTTTTCGCAAAATGTCGAATTTCCATATAAGATTCCACGAAAGAAATATAAGTCATCGGTTTCGTAAAATGCAAAACGACAACGTATTTTAATATAATAAATAATTATAATTCATTAGTATTAGAGCATCGAACAAATCAATTTTAGCATTAAACAATTAACTTTTACGTACGATTCCTATTGTTATTTCATAAATAAATAAATGATATAAACTTAACAATCAGTCTTTTTTCCTCGTTGTTTCGAATAACAAAACGGCAGGACAATCGCGCGAATGCTCATCTATTAGAGTAAACACTTTCGTTTGAATTTAAAGAAAGTGTTTCTCGTCTCTCCAGCCGCAATTCGCGCAATTGTCCTGGCGTTCGTCCTCCGGTGACCGCGAGGTCTCAGCGTCAAAGTGGGCCCCCCTACCACTCCTCTTGAGCGACGACGACGGCGACGGCGACGGCGATGGCGACGGCGGCGATGGTGGCGGCAGCCGCGATCTGCACCTGTGCACCGCTGTCGAGGTGTCGGGGCTTTTCACCTGGTAGTTCGGCCTGCAATCGCAAGCGCGCAGGTTGTCTGGCCCGATTCTCCGGTCGAAAGCGAGCGAGACATCGAACGAGATAGAAAGAGAGAGGGAGTGAGAGAAAGGCCGGCGATGAGCGTCGCGGAACCCGTCGCGGCCAGTGAGAGAAGCGGACCCCGCGTCCCCGTAGCTCGTTTTTGCCAGGGAAATTCGAGGGCAGTCGGTCCATCAGGAAGAGCATCGGCCTGGATGTCGATGTAAGCCGTCTGGCCACCAATCCTACGAAGAGGAGTAGGAGGCGAAAGTGCGCCCGATAAAGGGAAAAGGAGAACGATTTAGCAGCTGCAAGATGGATACCGTTTTTGAGAAGATGGCCAAGATAAATTTGGTAATGTCTACATTGTGGATGAAGTGGCTTTCTGTTCGGTGGTCCATTTTTTATTATTTTTTTTTTTTTAATTTTTTTTTTATTGTTGTTTTGCTTCCCTTTACCCGGGACGTTATGGGACGTTATTTGTTGTCATTACGCAAGCTTCGATCAATTTCGTATATTTGAGAATGGAAAATGTAACTTATCATTGATATCGAATTAAACGACGAGCCTCACAGTGTCAGCCTCGATGTCTGTCGATTCCGACGATCTGTTATTCGACTGCTCAATATTGTTTTATGAGTATTTCTTCTGAAGCCTAGTTCATTGCTTTACGCAATACGTGTGTTTTTAGTATAATCTTTGAAGTTTCAACAATAACGATGTTTTAAATTTATTGGTGATGTTTTAACGGTATTCATTAGTCTGTGATAGTGGATATTAATTTTCCCATTAAACGGAAAATATAGGCACTGTGATGTTCCAAGCAAGTGTTTGATTCAAATAAAAAATTCAGATATTATAGGCCTTTAGTTACTTTAGTTACTTGGTACGATAATGTTTATATATTCATCATTATTATGAAATTATTTGCAAATTAAAAGGTAGAATTAGTCGTGAATTTAAAAAAAAAATTGTTATTTTAAATTATTTGAATTTCTTACAACGCTATCCTCGAAGGTCTTAAAACTTTTGTACATAATTAATTAATGACACATTGATTTATAAGAAATATATAAAATAATGATTATAATATTAGACTATTAACAATATTAATTCATGCCTATAATTTAACGATTATATAATAAAATCAGTTACAATTTTAAACAACAAATTTAAACAATATAATCCTCTATATATTATATTAATATACATGTTAATCACATCGATGTATAATTTTTTTAATTGGATTAAATTATAAAATATTTTAGGAATTATTACAGCTAATTGGAATATGAATTCAATGGATTTTATTGTGATGTATTTTGAATATATTAGCTTATATCATTAAGCTTTCCAATGATCTTTTAATTGTATTTATAGTCTTTTAATTGTATCTATTTATTTTATATTATCAATTAGTTCTTGTCCATATTATATACATGATATTTAAATAGTAATATTATTTAAATAGTAATTTATTATTTAAATAATAATTTAACCTAACAATATAATATTTTATAAAGTATATAGAAAGATATCAAATCACATTTTTTATTTACGAAAATTAATAATTTTTAAAAGGTCGAATCATAAATATTTATATATAATTGAAGATTGATGAGAAGTAAGGGGAAAAATGTTTAAGAAAAAAATTCTTGGAATAGATATATTATACTAATAGTAATAAATCATGATGTATAAACAGTGCTAAGTTCGAAAGAAGAATGAAAAGAATAGCTTTTTAAAAATGTAAATTTTGAAAATTAAGAAATCTATATGTGAAAAAAATGTGATAATATTTTAATAAGTAACTGCAACTGTGAAAGGTTAAGAAAGTTTTAAAACAAAATACGATATAATTAGTAGAAATGAACGAAAGCTATATTATCTAGTTAGACACTTTATTTAGTTTTACGTAACTTTTAAATATTATCAGAATTTATTAAATAATCCACGATGGGTTTAACTTTTAATTTCATATTATTATGTTATAATTATGCTATAATACAGAATACGGACACAAGTTTGATTGATCTAAAGTAATGTTACGAAGAATTTAAGTCACCGTTAAAGAAAAAAGAAAAAAAATTGAATGAAAATTGCCGATTATTTCGCAAGCTTATTATTCCACGTTTTATTCGCAAGTGACTGACTGGCACGTACATGAATTAGATTGGAAGGGACACTTAATCATTATTAACATGTGAATTGATTTTCGCTGGTTTACTATAGGTGGTCTACCGCAGGTCTTAAGCGGCTGTCGCTTGAAATTCTTAAAAATTAGTCTTTTCGCATTCGGAATACCTTGTTCGACTTGTCCACCAACTTCTGATATGAAAAATTAAATCCAATACATTTCAATGAAGAAAACATAAGGAAAAGAAAAAAGTATTCTTAACTTAATGGAGGAAGACAAAAATTTTAAACATAGGAAATTTAAAACATCGTCTCGAAAAGATCGCGTGGGTTTTCAACTGAATTTAAAAATTTGATTTTAATTAAATTTAAAACAAAATCCTCGAAATATCCAAACCATTACTCCATTCGACAATAGGATAAAAAGGGAAAAAGCTCGCGAGTTAAACTCGCTCAATTTCGAACGGCCCAATCAACAATACATTTATACAAATATTACAATGCCAATTGCTTCTCCTATTATGCCTGTCCTACGTTTGTCCTCGGGAGTTTAAAGCAGCCGGGATAAATTGATCTATTTGTAGAAACGCTGGTGAATCCACTTCCCTGCCTACTTATGTCGCCAGTAGGTATTTCGAGGTGCGTGCTACTTTTTGGATGCGTACTGCTCGACTTCTCCATTTGCCGTAACTTGCCTCACCGCGCACGCGCACCCCATTCGCCAAAAGTATCGCCTGTAAAGGTCAATTTTACCGGCGACTCCTGTGAATCGATATTTGCGGAATTGATTTTGAAATATATTCGCTTCCATTCTTTAAGCGACTTTCGTTATATATCATTTACATATTTTACCATGTGTACTTGGATGTACTCAGCGTGTAGTTTGATGGCACGTAGAAAATTATTTTCGATAACTCTTTTCGTGTGCATTCGATTTATCTTTACATCCATACATTTATTTTCAATCAATTACATTTATTTCAGCAATTCTAAACTTATTTCTGAATCGTCTGTTCAGATAATGCTTTAAACTTTTTTTTCAATATATATATATATATACGATCATTATTATTAGAGTTCGACGAAGAATAAATGTTGTATACAAGCGAATTAACGATAATATCAATATTAATATTCACACATTACAACTATATGAATAATTAAAATTTGAAGTAAATATTTCAAAACATCGAAATTACGCTTAATCGTTATTAATTTTTATTGCACTACTTATTAAGACCGATATATTCTTAAGCTATGAATACTGATAAATTTATAATAATATATTAACCTATGATTCTATATTATAATTAACTCTCACATGAATGGTAACATTAAAATTTTTATTTTACTATCATATACAAACAAATTGTTATAATATCGTATTCATATTGTTTGAACATTATACTAAGTATTAGTAGTGATTGGTTTAATTTTGAACTATTTGAATGAACAAATAAAATGTTATATAATATAAAAATGAATTTCCTTTTGAAATTTGTGGATATTAAAAAGTACTAATTATATTTGTACGCGTAACAGTTACGAAGTATATAACGCGAGATTGTTAATATCAATATGCATTCATTTTGACACTCTAATCTCTGTATAAAAAATATTTCTGTTCTATTATTTTGTTAAGTTTATCAAAATTAAATTTCTTGAAATGAAACATTAATTGCAATTAAAGTGTTATAGGCGAAAACATTAGTTAATTTTCTATTAATTTACTTATTAATTACGTAAATTTATTTAATTTATGGTATCTATATAATTTATTTAGTTCTTTTTAAGTAAAGTTTAAATACCATTGAGGATACTTTTAAATTTAGATTAGTTTTAATACTTAGTTTACTATAAAATTGTAAAATAAATTAATAAATTCTTTAGTCTGTTTTCTTGCAGTATTTCATATATTTACATTTTTCTGTTTCTATATTCCAGACATAGATTTAAGAAATAGAAAGTTTCTATTCTTATTTACGTACAAAGATATTAACATCTTTTATTCTTAGAATTTTTAATATTGAAATGTTTAACATAAAATTATGACTTTGTGTATGTTGTGTTGTTACAACCAAAAGATTTGAAAAAAATTTTAACTTACACAACGTTACTTTAATAACTGCACATTTAATTAAGATATACATAAGTGATATACATTGTAAATATAAGAAGTAGATTATTCCATTTGTTAGTGATATATTATTTTTGCAAATTGTAAGTAAAATATGAATGAATTAAGTACGCAATGTTAATAAACATTAAACTTTTTCGTTATTTATAGATAATTTTTAAGAAATTTTATTGAATTCTTATTATAAATTAAATATTTTAAGATTATTATTTAAATTTGTTTAAATTATTGGTCGATATTAAATAAATTATATAAAATATATATATGTTTAGTATTAATAAAAATCTAAATAATGCAATTAAGATAATAATTATTTAATAACATTACTGCACATATTACATTATTAGATTAATAGTTTATTATTTAAATAAATGTATAGTAGTATATTATTTAAATAAATCCCATAGTATTATATATCTTTAATAATATGTACTTAATATTTTTTAATGTTAATTATTCATTAGGCCAAATATAAAATAGTAAAGTGGCATATTCAAATAAATAATTGACTTTATTTTTCAAAATAAATTACAAAGTTAGTTCAAGTTTTGATTTACCTTATGCTCACTCATACTACAATATTTTAAAAGTATATAAAATTTTTTCTTATATCATTATGCGCATTTAAATTGAGAATAAGTATTGCCCGAACGAAAGCGAACATATTAATAGAAACCCATGTAAATTGAAATCATTAAATCTTCGTTCGTGTATGATATACATAAATTTAAAATTAAGAAAAACCACAATTTTATTAACGCTTGTACCCGCGTTTAATCAACACGGGATATTTGTCTTTCGTTTTTAATTATAAACCTTTTATCTGAATTTATGAAAACGACGACATTAAACCAAAAAATACACGAATGGCAATTAAAGTTCGTTGAAATTGTATTTCTTGTATTTTTAACAGCACCTAAAGCGCATATAAACTATTTTATATATTGTTTTACAAGATGGAAATGGGATCAACAGAAGCGATTTATTAATAGTTTAAATGGTATAGGTTCGGTCAAATCTATGACTATATGTAAGCAAAAAAATGCATGCATCGTATGTACATAGCATTTTTCACATCATT